ATTTTTTTCCCCTTCATATTACTTATTCTTAGCTCCCATGGCTAAGAACGATGAACATATGAACTTTATATCCACACACATACATATAAACATACCATTAGCTCTTGCTATCACCCCCACTCCAAGGCATTCGGTCCATAAGCAGGGTCACCCAGCCATGCCTTTCGATTAGGCCCGGCCTTGGGATCTCTGCAAGCTTAGTCAATGTGTTGGCTTTGGAAGTGGAATTTTAGAGCTCGAGATGAGCAGGATGGCTTGTGTAAATGATGCCTTTCTGCAGCAAGATAATTAAAGCTGAAATTTCAGACGAGTCTGCAAGAAAGCCATGTTTACACTTTGCTAGTTCTGGGTCCTGTGGGGAGTGGAATTGTTACCAAATAGCTCTGCCTGCAACTGACTCTTACCCAGATCACCTGGGCATTGCCAATCACTTTAAGGTAGGACTATTCCCAGGGCAGAGTCTGAATGTGTAGCGTGTGTACAGAGGTTCTATCAGAACTAACACTGGGGCTTGGAGGCAGTCTCTTTCACTCTTTCAAGAGCGGTTCTCTGAGGCCACACCGCCACTCAAGCCCTTCAACATGACAACCCTGCCCAGCATCTCCTGGTAACATCCCTCTCCTGAGGCAGAAAACAAATCTCAGAAGGGTCAGGGCCAGAGCCTAGAATGTGTCAGACCCTACGTGGATGGCTTCAGTCCCAAATCCAAACCTATCTTGACCCGTGTAGGATGAGAGGGCTATTGCTCCCTCTCCAGCCACCCCCTCACATAAGGAGAAACCCCTGGGCCACTCATCTGTGTAGACAAAGGGGGCACAGTGGAAAGGTTTGTGGGGAAGCAGACAGGTGAAAAGTTGGCCTGGGAGATAAGAGAAACCGCTATTCTCTCTTTGGCATGGCTGCTATTCCTGCCTTTTCATGATATTTTTCCTCCATTTTTGTCAGATCAAAAGAATATATTGAACTCCTGGGTTCAAGCAATCCTCCCGCCTCGGCCTCCCAAATGCTGGGATTACAGGCATGAGTCATCGCACCTGGCCCAGATTACAGGAAGGTCTTAGAACTTGAGCAGGGGGCTTAAGATTTATCGACAACAACACAACAAAAAGAATTCCAGCCAAAACCCTGGTTGACTCGTGTCAGAAGAAAAAGAAAGTAGGTTTAAGAATAATAGGCCAGAGCCGGGCTCGGTGGCTCAGCCTGTAATCCCGCGCCTTTGGGAGGCTGAGGTGAGTGGATTGCCTGAGCCCGCGGGTTCGAGACCCACCTGGGCAGTGAGACCTCATCTCTACAATAAATCAAAAAACTAGCCGGGCATGGTAGCACACGCCTGTAATTCCAGCTACATGGAAGGCTGAGGCGGAAGGATCACCGGAGCCCAGCAGGTCGAGGCTGCGGTGGCCAGGAGTGGCCACTGCACTCCAGTCGGGGCGACAGAGTGAGACTCCAACTCAAAAAAAAAAAGAATAATAGCCCAGGAATGAATTTCTAACATGTTATCATTTTCCAGAAGCTTAAGGAAAAGAAAACTGTGCTCCTTTCAACAACCATATGCAAGAAGTGTAGAGAAGAACCTCTGCCCTGGAGAGAGAAAAAAATGTGGGCAAAGAAAAACAAGACCCAAATCTCCTTTAAAAAGTGGCAAAGGATGGGCACTGTGCAGGGACTAGAGAATTTAAATTTCTAATATAAAAGGTAGAAAGGAAAAACACACAATGTGCTGGTTTGGAGAAAAAATTCAGTCACACGTTAGACCATGTGGGTGCCAAGAGAAACACTGAGACGTGCCCAGGCTCAGGCCACCTAGTCGACAGGGGAGTGGGGAGAAATGCACAGGTGAGCCAGAAAGAGGGAAGATACGAGTTTGAGGAAATGGAGCAGCTGGTATACCTGAAGGGCAGCTAGGAGAGGAGTCAAACTCAGGGCAGGTGCTTGGTGAATGTCAAGAAACAGAGAATAATAAGCAAGAAATCTGGCACTAGCCAGCCTAGAAAAGCCAAGGATGGATTTTCCTAAAAGAGACATTTCAGGAACTATTCCTTTAGAAGAAAACATGCTTCATTGTGGGCTCGGGTAGAGCAGAAGGACAAGGCTGGTGAGAGAATGAGATTCATTTTGGAACGACAGGGAGAGGGAAAGGGGCCAACTGCACACGTGAGACAGAGAAGAAGGAGAAAATCATTTTTGCAGCTGAGATGTGGGTCAGGCACTCTCTGCCCAGCTGGGCTCTGCCTGAGGTGATTCAAGGCTTGTTAGGAGCAGAGAACTCTTTTTTTTTTTTTTTTTTTTTGAGTTGGAGTCTCACTCTGTCGCCCAGACTGGAGTGCAGTGGCCGCTCCCGGCCACCGCAGCCATGACGTGCTGGGCTCCGGTGATCCTTCTGCCACAGCCTTCCGAGTAGCCGGAATTACAGGCGCACGCTACCACACTTGGCTAATTTTTTGATTTATTGTAGAGATGAGGTCTCACCAAGTTGCCGAGGCGGGTCTCGAACCCGCGGGCTCAGGCAATCCACTCACCTCAGCCTCCCAAGGCGCGGGGCCCGGGATTACAGGCTGAGCCATCGAGCCCGGCTTAGAAAACTCTTTGAAATCATACATCACCCCTGCAAAGCACTCAAACAAGTGACGTGAGCTGGTAACCTTAGAAAATCACATTCAGGAAGGAAAGAAAGCAGTGGTGCTGGGGTGGGTAAGGATGGGGCTTCCTGCTACAACAAGGGGCCTACAGAATGTGGAGAAGCAGGAAAACGCAAGGCTGGAGGTGCCGTGCCAGGCAGGCGCCCGTGAGGCTCAAGGCGGTTGACAAGGAATTCTGTAAAATGTGAGAATCCCGGGAGGCTGGAACCAGCAATGGTTCCAGACCACAGTTCTTTCCATTTATAACGCACACAGGACAGCAGGAGTGCTAAGGAGTTGGGGGGAAAAGAAGAAACAAAACTCTGGATTGGGGTATCGAGGGATGTCGAGAGGCTTGGGGCAGTGATGCCTGACACTTGCATCAGGCCTTTACATATGCTGTTTCCTTAGCATGGCATGCCTTTTCTTTGTCCCTGCTTCCCCTGGCTCTTACTTGTGAAGCCTCAGCTGAGCCATTTCCTCCTGAGGAAGCATTTCCTGGCTTTGTGATGCCTCCTCCCTCCCTCCAACAACTGCATTGATCAGATAGAATTCCAGGCCCTGGTCCACGTACCATGTAGGGCCCAGTGCATGCTTGTTGAGTGATGAACAAATGCTTGTGCAGGCGCTTGGAGCAAGGGGATCCTGGGGCTCTCGGGTTCTAAGCTCCCAAGATCGTGAGTGGACTCCAGAACAGAAGCTCCCCTAGTTCCTGGGAGGTCGCTGAGCATCACACCCAGTCAAATTCCACTGTCGATACCTGCTTCCAAGCCAGAGTGCCTTGGGCCACAGAAGGCCCGTGCAGGGGGCTGTCGTAGTAACCAGCTGGGGCTGCAGAATGTTTCCTCTGCTCTGGAGCTGGACCTCAGGAGAGGGCTGAGAGGACCAGGAGGCAGAGATTTTGTTACTCCAGGGCAAGCCAGGCCACAAGTAGGGAGAATTCTCCAGCTGGAACCCCAGGGAGAAGCTATCAGAGCATAGCCACCAGGGATAAACCACGCACCTGCCAAAGCTGCCAGAGGGATGTGACTAATGCTGGCAATTGGGCTTGGGATTGGGGTCCTCAGACCAAACTCAGTACCAGAGCCACTCAGAGGATAAGACAGTAAATCAGTTGAGAAGAATGAACTATGAAGGTGTGAACTTTCCAAAATACTGGAAAACTGGAGGCAGAGATATTATCTGGAATACCTATAAACTCAATCTTATTTCCTCCTCTGGGATGAGAAGATGGGCTTGCTAATGCTAAGCTTTGTTCTAGAATCAGGGAGCATTGTGTTTGAAAATATTTTCTTGAATGAAAACGCATGGATTTTCAGTTCTGGTGTCATAGTGAGATAAGCACTGAGTATTCAAAGGCAGAGGCGTCAAATAATCGAGCTTTTCCTGACTTAGTGAGTCCTTACTTTGCAGAGACTCTGTCACTGGCCAACTGTCCCCATCAGGGATTCTGAGGAGGCGATCCCAAATGTATCACATGTGTCCTGGGCTGGTGGTCCACCTCACTGCCCACAAGCTTTTATGTGCTTGCTGAAACAAAGTGGGAACTAGCTTACCTCTCTAGGGATGGAGGGAGTGTATGACCTCTTCCTGCCAATGTGTGTGGCTTGCCAAAAACATTGTATAAATATCAATGATTAGGGTATTCTAAAAGCCACTGTTATCTGTGTTCTTCCATCTTTTCTAAAATGCAGCATCCTTCACAGACTCAGGTGAACACTTCAAAATTCTTTACAAAGGATCTCTTCCCCAGCAACCACTGCGTAGTCCACTGGAGAAAGTCATCCATAAGCTGTAATAGCAGGTAAGAGCTCTTTGGTAGAAAACAAAAAGATCTTAGCATCTGCCAATTTCTACAGTGTAATCACTCCCCTCATGGCTGATTCTTTCTTCTTCTTTCACCTCCTCCTCTTCTTTTTGAGACAGGGCCTCAATCTGCCATCCAAGGTGGAATGCAGTGGCACAATAACAGCTCGCTGCAGTCTCAACCTCCTCGTTTCGAGCAATCCTCTTGCCTCAGCCTCCTAAGTAGCTAGGACTACAGGCATATGACACCATGCCTAGCACATTAAAAAAAAGATTTCTGTAGTGTTGAGGTCTCACTATGTTGATAGGCTGGTCTAGAACTTCTGGCCTCAAGCAATCCTCCCACCTTAGCCACCCAATGTGCTGTGATTATAGGTGTGAGGCATGGTGCCTGGCCGTGACTGATTTAATGACACCAGGGTGAAGTCACTGAATGTGAGTTGGGAAGAGATGTGCACAATCAGTTCTTACAAACAGGTGCAAGCCAGCTCCTGCACACCACTGGCTCTAGACACAAGTTAACACCCATCCTGGCTTCCCCTGACCACAAGCATGAGATGGTCATTCTGCACCCACCTCTCTCAAAGGAATTTTTGATGTCATTGACTTCAACCTGAGATCCTGGCACTCTGAAGATCCCCTGCTGCTGGAGTCCTAAAAAAGAAACAAACACACAACAAGATAGCAAATGATCTTCCTCCCAACACTGGGGATGTTGATGCTCCTCCCGTTGCTTTCTCTTTCTTCCCCACCCTTTATTACAGAGTTGGTCTGCAAGGAAGGTCTCCTGGCAGAAACCCCCAAACGGCCTTTGTGGTGAGCTACAGCAGGCCAAGATACTCAGACTCATCTGCTCCATATGTCTGTGAGCCTTTCCCCATCTTTAGTCTCCATATTATAATTTATAAGTGTTTACTCTCACAAGACAGACTTTGGTCAAGGTTTCGTTTGTACATAGTGTGCATTCAATAAACACTTGTTCAACAACAATATTCAAATCTAACAATACTGAATTTCTGCCACTTGAGTCTCTGACCGCATCTGCCTGGCTCATGACTGCCCGGCCACACTGGCCTTCCTTCCCATGCTAGGCCTGTCCGCTTGCCGTTCTCCATTCTCTCCAGTCGACCTGACGGCTGCGGCTTCTTCTACTCACTTGTGACTTCATTCAAATCTCACCCCCTAGGAGCAGTCCCTACACTTTAGCCAGTGCAGCTCCTTACACTGCCCTTCCCACAGCCATTAATTTGTTTCATGGCATCACCACGCTTTGAAATTATATTATTATATTATTTGTCTTTCTGTTTATTTCCTTGCCCTTTTCATTGGAAATGCAAGTCACCCACGGCAGGCACTGCACCTGTCTTATTCACACCTCTATTTCCCACTGTCCAGAACCATGTCCATTATGCACTCAATAAATATAGTACTGGAGGAGTGAATAAGCACAAGTTACGTTCTGGTGACAACATGGTAAACAAACCCCAAACACTATTACCTTCAAGGAGCTTGTAATCCGGAGGTATTAACTGATTTACTGGCCAACTCCATGCAGTGCTCAAAGCACAGAGCTCTGGAGTTGGGTGGCAGTGGGGAAGGAGCTAAAGAAGTTCTCCTGTCTGTGCCCTCCCTGTTCCTCAGTTTTCCTAGGTGCTCTCACCACGACCTCCATCCTCCAAACCACAGGCTCAAAAGACAGTACTCAGAAGAGCAGTTGTTCTGGGCCACTTCCTCCCCCAGTGGTGGGAAGTCTTCCAAGATGAATGAGAATCTCATTTCCTATCAGAACAGCCTTGTACCTGCTCCACAGATGGCTGAAAACACTGACCCAAGACCGAGCTTACCGTATAAATTGATGTATCGAATGCAGCTCTCGACTACAAGCGGTATAGCTTGTCCTGAATCCTTGAGGGAAAAAAATTGTAAGTTTTATTGGACTTGGCAACCACCGCAGGAAAGAGATGTTGCAAATGCAGATGATAGACTCAAGCCAGAATATTAGTACCATCAGATTAGTAGAAAAACAAGCAAGGAACCTCTAATCCTAAAGTCTCCATGAACAGTTACAATAGAAAGCCTTCAGTTATTTGCAGAAAAAGGCATAGCTATGAATAATCTTAAAGAAATGCTCTGTCTTCTTACCCAGCTGGCAAGGAATCTGGGCTCAGGAGGCTTGACAGGCACACCTGGGGCCAAGGAGCAGGAACCCACTGCGTGGAGGGGGCTGGAGTCTGGCCTTGAAGAGTGATCTGCCTCCCCTCCACGTTGCCCAACTCAACACTGTTCTCCCAGTGCTTAGGGATAGAAAGTCAGGATCAAGTCCTCATCCTGTTACTGCAGGGGCTGATGCCAGAATTAAGCGCACACCATGGAGGAAGCAGGGCTGGCCCCCAGTGGGACTTCTGCGCTCTGAGAAGGGACGACCAGTTCTACCCGTGAAGTTTCAACCGAAACATCCAGATGCAGACTTTAACAGTACACATATTACGAGGAAAAGCTCTAGAAGCAACTGCTGTCAGCCAGTGGCCATCTAGTGGCCAACCTTTGTCAAAAAGGCTGATATAACTAAACATATGCAATCGGGGTGTGAAGGTATTTTCAAGGGCATCTTCCTAGACTGGTCTATAGCCACAAACGGCTGGGCCAGGGGGGATTTTCTTTTGGAATCCAAGATTAGCTGACCACTCTGCTATTCCGGGTCACTTAAGAACATAAACTTTTAAAAAAAACTATCTTTAAAAGGGGCCAAGTTAAATTACTAGCCCCCACACAAGTTGAAGAAACATTACAGCATATGTAATATGCTCTTGTAAAGATGGCACGGACTTGGATGCATTCCTGGCTCCTCCACACCCCACCTGTGAATTCCTCCCTTGATTCCCTGCGGTCAGGGAGAGGACAAGAGTATGGACTTATCAGCAACAGGCAAGGTGGGCTCTGTTCTGGAAGTCAGTACTAAAGGCAGGTTCCATCCGGTTGAACGGGGCTAATGGGCCTTTCTAGTAAATACCTGGTTCCTGGTTCGAGCATTTCTTCTTCCTCTGATAACAAAAAATAAACAGGCAGCAGAGCAGGAGAGAAAGAAAAGATTATGCAGGAATAAGATCAGTTAGAGTAAGCAGATCCTTCAGAGTCCGTGAACGCCAAAATGCAATGGCAGCCAACAAAGGTCTTGGGAAGTCTGACAAATAGCCTGCCCGCAGGGAAGGCCACCCCTGAGCCTCGGTGCCTTATAGGAATTTTAGAAGCTGCCCCCAGCCAGCCTTCCAATATGGCTGCCTCAGCCTTCCTCTCAGATACCAGTTGACAAGGATGCCTTTTTCAGTCCTCGTCAAAGTTCAGAAACTGTGAGTACTGGACCCATTCCCAGTCCCATGCCTAGCTTCTCCTCAACAAAAGGGGTTGTTTCTTCACTAATAGGCAAGAGCCTACCTAAAGCTCTTGTGAGGTAAGTCCAGCTGCCCACAAAAAGGAGAGAAGCACACCTTTATGTCTACTGTAACACTGTCTCTGGAATTCAGCTCAAGAAACCTCATTCTTGGTTTAAAAAAAAAAAAGGCTTAGTTTTACCAAGGTCATGTCTATGAGGCACCCTCTGGAAAGGGTCCCAAGGATTCCACCTGCTGCCAAATTCTAAACAACTGTCCCTTTGTTTTGTTTTTGACCATATTCCCCCATATATGGCATTTCCTGGTATCCACTTGGCTTTGCTTTTGTTTCTACCCACTTAGCCCTCACAGTGGCACTGACAACACCCTCTGGGAATATAAAGGCTGAGGAAGACCTGGAGGAGGGAAAGAAATTGAGTCAGAACACTTTTGTGATCTTGGGGGCAGAACTGGAATCTTTGCTGTCACTAAAAGTCACTGGTGATGCCTGTTTTCAGGGGTTACTGTCTGTTCTTTCTTTCCATCTGTGCAGCAGGTCAGTCTCTGGGGTGTGTGCTGTGTCTCATCCAGACTCCTGGAGGAAGTATGCCTTCTTGCTAGTGTCACCTGCCCCGTGCCCAGCATCTCAACAACTGGAATTATCTGCTAAATGATAATTCTGGTACCAGAATCCCAAACTGAGCAAATAGTCAAATGGGATAAGCAATATCCTAAAATGAATGCTAGCAATAATAGATAATACTTACATAGGGCTTACCACATGCCAGTCTGTGCTCTAGAAACGTGATATATATTAGCACATTTAATCATCATTGCAAACTCATAAGGTAGGTAATTATCATTCTCATTTTATAGAGACAAGATGAGGACTCTCCCCTGGCCCCAGAGATGAACCTCCTGGGCTTCAAAGTTGACTCTTATAATAAAAATGGGGTCTCCCCTCTGCAAGGAGAAAAAAATTCAAGGATTTTGAAAGAGGTTGATTGGGGGGGGGAGTCCTAGAAATGTATACATCTAGCTCCAACAACGTCTTCTCATCATTACTAACATGGGGATGCCTCCTTGTCCCTCTAAACCAACCTAATCATGAAGCTCCAGTTATGTGTTGTATCGAAAAGCTTTCCACAGGTATGGTTTTCAAAGAGAGGGAACTCTTAGTTCAATGTTCTTTCAGATTACATGTAAATTATAGTAGAAAATTAAATTCCGCTCTCAATAGTTGAGGAACTGAATGTATTGTCCTGCCTCTGCATTCTCTGAAAGTTAATAAACCCTAAAAGTGAAACTGTGCTGTATGCAATGCTGACTAGCTCATAGTAGGTACACAGCACGACTTTGTTGAACTGCACTGACAGTATGTGGCATGGGTACAGCGTGACTGTAAAGACATTTAACAAATACACTTTTTCTGCCCAGTCAAATGAGTATTATCCCTCTAGCTCATCCCCTGAGGAGGCTACGCACTTATTCCAGCAAATGTGCCACTGCTGAAGTGCTCTGGGCTGCTTCCTGGGGGCTCTTTTCAGAGCCAGAAGACCAACTCCACTGATAGCATATTCCTTTTGCCATTTTTGTACCTCCAATGGTGTGGCAAAGCGGAGCTTCAGGTGGTGGAGCTTTTTATCCCAAAGACAAGGTGTCCATTCTTTTTTTTTTTTTTTTTTTTGAGTTGGAGTCTCACTCTGTCGCCCAGACTGGAGTGCAGTGGCCACTCCTGGCCACCGCAGCCTCGCAGGCTGGGCTCTGGCGATCCTTCCGCCTCAGCCTTCCAAGTAGCTGGAACTACAGGCCCGTGCTACCATACCCGGCTAATTTTTTGATTTGTTGTAGAGATGAGGTCTCACCAAGTTGCCCAGGCGGGTCTCGAACCCGCGGGCTCAGGCAATCCACTCGCCTCAGCCTCCCAAAGGTAGTGTCCATTCTAATATAAAGTTTTGGCATCACTGAAAAAAGCCATGCCTCAGGCTTTAAGGAAGACTGACCAGAGCAGTTGTGGCAATGGTGGTATGTTTAGAATAACAAAGTGGCTTTCCCAGGTGAGTGCCTCAAAGGACACAACACACATAAGGCTGATGAAGTTTGATGTGTTGGCCAGAAGGAATAAAGCCGCAATACTTTATAGTCACTTATTATATATAAGACCTTTCTAGAAGAGACTGTCTAATTGAACAGAACACCTAATTTGCAAATGCTGTCAGATAAGAGTGGATTCCTCCCAAGTATGATCCTCGGACCTGAGCAAACTGGGGACGCTGTTTCTGTCTCTGAGCCTTCATTCCTCTGTTCCTCCTTTCAGGGATTCCTTCTGTCTTACGCCCCTCCTCTCTATCCCTATCCTCCTTCGAAGCCCCTCAAGAGGCCTCCTGTACTGGAGTCCATCGCTCTTCTTGCTCTGAGTGCATTTTGTGGGGATAATCCACCCAGTGCTCATCCTGAGTCACCTTACACCTTCTGCCTTTGGTGTTTAAAACCTTCCATGCTCCACTATCAGCTCCTTGAGGGCAGGGGGCGTAACTAGTCCCCTCTCAGCCATGGAGCGTGGTTCTTTCAGGGACAAGGGTGAAAGAGAAGAGAGTCTTGGTGGAGGCTGGAGGGCAAATGAAAGGAGAGAGGACTTCTTTGACACGGCCCCGCCCTCCCATGACCACTGGATGGTAATCTGCTCCCTCTGGGTCACCTCCTTACAGTTCTCTTTCCCGACGTGCCTGGTGGGACCTCTCCTATGGGCATCCTCTATGCCTCAGTCCTCACAGCTATCCCACAGCAGGCCCTGCCATTTCCTGGCCCTGAGCAAGCCCAGCTTGGGCCCTAGTCTTCCACTTTCCCTTTCCCCACTCTCCATTCCCCAGAACTCGGCCCACATGCAGAGACAGTCCTAACCTGGGAGGGCTGGTCCTGCCTGAAGCCAATCCCATATGTAGTCCCTCCCTGTCCTGCAAGTCCTGTGCTGCACTCTGTCTGAGGACTAGGGGTAGAGAGCTGGAGTAGAGGTAGCCTGCCTGACCCCAATATCATCAGCAAAGCCCAGGCGGCTTTACTTTCCTCCTGACTGAGACCTGTCTTCTTTTCTGCAGAAGGTATCATCATTGGATAGTGCTGGGCTCTCAGATCGCTGGCAGAAATGTTCCCCCATTTGCATGAGAAATACTAAGACTGCATCTCCCCTTCCCCAGGTATCTCCCTGCCTGCTGCTCTTTGCTCTTTGAGACACCATCACCATCTCAGTTTGCCTTGAGCTGTTATGGCTGAGATAGCTTGATCTTGGGCCTTTTACATCAAAGAGAAAAGGGAAACTCCCCTAGTTGAAACACCTTAATTTTTAGTTTAAGTTATAAAGAATTAGCTTGGAATTCGAAAGGGACAACCTCGACTCTTCTCCCTTCTCCCAAACCATCTCAAAAGAAGCAAAACTAGGTGGGAGGATTTTCTGTCATAAAAATTAGGTGTTTTCAGCCGGGCTCGGTGGCTCAGCCTGTAATCCCGCGCCTTGGGAGGCTGAGGTGAGTGAATTTCCTG